GTGAAAGCCCCTCAACCTTGGGCTTCAGCTCTGCCTCCTGCTCCCAGCTCACTGAAGCTGGAGGCTTTTCTTCAGACAGCTACTGGCTGCTAAGGCTGTCAAGCCCAAGGTTGACAAGTAAAAAGGCACAGTCCCGATGTTACCAAACCACATGGCAGGCCATTAATTCAAGTCTACTGTATGTCCCCAGGTCAGCAGAGCATGGCAGGCTGCTGAACAACGACATGGCTACATGCAGGGTCCAAGTGTGCCATAAGCTGAAGACCATCCCCAAGGCTTCTCCTTAAATACAGGAAGCAGACCATATTCCCAAAGGCAGCTACTCAGCTAGCTGCTTGTGGTAGATCCCACCATGGAGTTGATTGCTAGTCTCTTCATGGGGAATAACTACCACCAGCTGCCCAGCCACTCAACCAGGCCCAGCCAAGCTGACACAGAAACATAACCACCACACCACCCACGTGGCACTAATGATTCCTGTGGAACCACACAAATAAGGGCAAATTTCTAGGCATGACATCATGTGCACCCTGCTCTATTAAGGGGAAGATGCCCACCTTGAAGGAACAGCCACCATTACAAAGGAGAGCTACAGTGGTCTCGTGTTAGGAAAGACTTGGGAAATAGACATTTTCTACTTTGTGATCTTAATTCTCTATTGTTATTTTTTTTCCACCCTGAACTTGGTGTGGTCATAATAAAATTAAGGATCTATTCTGCAATGCAGTGTTTTTTAAGGAAGGAAAAACATCTGTTCCATGTTTCTAACATGTTTCTTTAAGTAAGGATATGGAACACAAAACAGAAGAAAAATAGAATTGCTTTGTGGCAATAATTAGGCTACAATTATAAGGCATTTAGTGAATGTTGCCTCTGCATAGAATGAAATGTGTATAAACATTGTCTCTTCACAGAATTCACTTTGAAAAGGTTACCATTTGATGTTTGTCTTAGGTATAATGTACCTCTGGTCCCTAGCATTTTGCAGCCTTCCTTAAATATGTCTGTTCATCCTCCAAGAACAATTTCCAAACCAGGCATTTCAAATGAAAGTTTAGGTGACAAGTTTAAATGTAAAGTGGCCTGGTCCGTGACAAGAGTGCCTGCAGGCAGGACAGCTTTCATTCCTCAGTGAGCTCACACTTCCAGCCATGAGCTCCTTCTTGCAGGTTTCCAGGTATGTGCTTCTATTCACAGGGCTGGCCAAAAGCATTGGCAGGGACACTCAGACAAACTGAAACTCTGGTGTAACTAAAAACACAAATGGTGGTAACAACAGTAGCATGGGACGCGTCCGTGTGGTTGGCTATAGCTACCTCGAGAGCAGATTCCTTTTGGTGGAGATTTGAATGAAAATTTCTCCAGTCTTCTTTTGCCGTCTCAAGTTTGGCCTGGACACTTTCAGCTTTCTCTTTGGTCAGCAGAGTACTCAACAGCTCTCCTTTAGATAGCATCACATTTAGTTTGTGCTGTCCACTTTCACTTTCCGACAAAAACTCCTACAAAGAAAAATAGGATTGACATAGTGAAATGCTCTGGACTCTAGAATGCATGAATTATTTTCCTACTTAATTCTCAAAGAATCAGTGAGAGGAGATAAAGGATTTTTAGTGTATATATTAAATTAGTCGGGAGTTATAAGCTATTTTATTTATTCATTTAAACTCTGACTTATCCCCAAAAAAAGTTGTGAGCTTTGTCATAAAATATTAACAATGAGATTAAAAATAAACAGGAGAGGAAATGAAGAACAAGGGCAAGTAAGAATTGTAAAACAAAACACACACTGGCTAAGATTAGTTTTAAAAAATAAATGCCTTATTGTCTTGTACAATTGGTGGAGCTGGGCTATGACTTGCTCTGAGCATCCTAGCTGCCAAAGCAAAAGGGTAAACACAGCCAGGTGCAAGGCTGACAGGGCCTACAGAATAAAAAGCAAACCACCTGCTCAGCAGAAGCACAATTAGACAAGAAGACAGAGGTGAAGTTTTCTGGAGAGGCTTCACAAAGAGGATGCCATCAGACATGATAGACTATGACATCAGCAGTAGTTAATAAAACAATATGTGTTTTATTATTTGTTTATATTTGTTTTATATATTATTTGTTTATATGTGTTTTATTCAAACAATAGAAGTTGTTCATATGTGTGTGTGTGGTGTGTGCACACAGCTATAGCTGTATATATAAAATATTATGTATATGTATATATAATTGATAATTCAAAAAAACGGACAGAACAGAACCACTCAGAGGGGGATCTATGTAGGAGATCCTGGATAGAATGGAAGAGCAATGTGGAACAGAACTCAGAATCATTAATTTAAAAAAAAAAAAAAAAAAGGGACCAGGTTTGCTGGTCTGACAGAGCTCGATGGAACCACTGAGACTGGGGCCCCTAGCTGCTCTTCAGGTCTGGAATTGAACCCTCTCCTATAGCTTCCAGTCAAACAAAAGACAGGCATATGAGCTGAACATTTACATTAGGTAGGTACACTCCTTGGAGAGAACAGTCATGGGAGAATAGAAGGGCCGTGTATGCACAGGGAGACAGCTGGGGGGCAGGAGTACATCAAGAGAAGGACACAAGGAAGAGGTAATTATGGGGAGGAAGTGGGAGGGGAGCTGTTGCATTGTGGGAAATTGCAGTCAATGTCATGAGACAAAGTGTATGTGAGCTGCTGTATGGAAAGTGAATATGCTCTGTAAACTTTCACCCAAATCACAATTTGAAAAAAAAAAGGACAGCACAATAAAGCAAAGCCACAGTGTGTGTTTCCCATCATCTGCTGAGATCCAAGGATTCAGTTTCACTCCAGGAAAATGATGGGTTCTAGATTCTAGTCAAATGTCACTCATTTTCTCAAGTGTTGGAGAAGCAATGAAAAGTACTAGCTCAAGGTTATTTGTTCTGGGAAGACACAAGACAGATATCTATGCTGTCTCTTTAGATGAAAGGGATCTCCTTGGGATGTTTGTCTTAGTGGACTGCCACCCTTGGACATGGAGGTGTGCTGGGGGCAGGGAGGGCCAGAATAAAAAATATACTTGTCCACAAAGTATAGCTCTGTCACACAGATGGGGGTGACTGAGGTTCTGAAGTTCTACCCTTTTCTCTGGAGCAAAACTCGAAGACTTTTAAATAGAACACATGTCCAAAGCAAAAGTGGTTTTTCTGAACTTTGAACTGAGTTATCTAGAACTATGAGGAAGCCTAGTAGCGTAGTGCCTAAGGCACTTGACTGTTAACCAGAAGGCTGGTGATTAAAACCTACCAGCCACTCTTCAGAAGGAAGACTGGGCAATCTACTTCCATAGTGATACTGCCTCGGAAAGCCAAGGAGGGGTTGCTATGAGCCAGGTCCAACTCAACCGCACATAACAACAACAACACCATGAAGGAAGCCATGAACTGAGAGTTTTCTGTCATAGAGTAGTTAGGAAAAGCACTGTTTCAGAGCCCACCCCTAACGTATACACTTCAAGCATGGGTATTTATACTTAGTTTTCTATATACAGAAGCCCTGTGGGGGAAAAAAAAATCAAATTTCATAACCGATTGCTCAAGACTGCTAATGAGCTAAACCATCAGATGTGCACATATAGGAAAGGCAATTTCAATAAGTGCCTAGAAAATGTTGGTGTTGAGGGTGGTGTGTAGAATATCTTCATGAAAGTGAAGAAAAAAAATTCAAAAAATAAAAATAAAATCTGTCTGCTACTTTACATAGCAGGTCTGTGCCCTCCCTAAGACTCCCTTACCTAAACCGTAAAATGGGAATCATACCTTTATGCACTTAATACAGTTACTGGGAAAATGAAATGAGGAAATCCATCGACAGTGCTCAGGCACAATGCTTGTCACTCAGAAAATGCTTTCATTATTTTCACATCTCTATCAGACATAAAAGGAGCTCTGGAGGTGCACTAAGTGTACTTGGCTACTAACAAAGGTCAGTGGTTCAAACCTACCAGACTCTCTCTGTGGAAGAAAGATGAGGCAATCTGCTTCTGTAAAGATTCACAGCCTTGGAAATTCATTTGGGGCTGGAATTGACTTGATGGCATTGAGTTTGGTTTTTCAGGTGATCATACGTAAAGGAGCCCCGTGGTGCCAATGTTAAGTTCTAGGTTGATAACCGAAAGGTTGGCGGTTCAAACTCTTCCAGCCAAGAAAACTCTGTGGGCAGTTCTAGTCTATCCCATGGGGTCTCTATGAGTTGAAAATTGACTCAACGGCATCAACAACAACATTACACACAATGGTTCCTAGGTGGCACAAAAGGTGAATGCACTTGACTGCTAAGTGAAAGGTTGGAGGTTCGAGTCCATCTGGAGGGACTCACAAGAAAGACCCAGTGATCTACACTTGTGAAAAATCAGCCAATGACCTGCACGGAGCCCAGTTCCCCTCTGACACACATGGGGTCACCATGAGTCAGAACAGACTATGCCAACTGGTTACCACACAATACAAATACTGTGCATTTATGTGAGTACAACTAACTAGCTTCTCTTTGTATACACATTAAGTTATTTTAAGCAGGACGTTATTTGAAATTTGAGCTGCTTAAACAAAATGTGGAGCCTTAGAGGTTAACAGTTAAGCACTGGGCTCCTAACTGAAAGGTCGGCAGCTAGAACCCACCAGCAGCTCCGGGGGAGAAAAGGCCCGTGGACCTGCTCCTATAAAGATTACAGCTTAGGAAACCCTATGGGGCGATTCTAATGTGTCACAGGGGATTGCTATGTGTTGGAATTGCCTTGATAGCACACAACAACAACATGCAAAAATGGAAGGAGCCCTGTTGGCACAATGGGTTAAGCACTTGGCTGCTGACAGAAAGGCTGGTGGTTCAAACCTACCCCGTGCCTCTGAGAGAGAAAGACCTGGTGATCTGCTCCTATAAAGATTACAGCCAGTTCTACTCTGTCATGTGGGGTTACTAGGAGTTGAACATCAACTCAGCTGTACCCAGCAACAAGAAGCAAAAGTTCAGTATGTGATGCACTTACAAAGATCTACGGGCACCTTTCTAATCCATGTTGTTGTTGTTGTTGTTGTTGTTGTTGTTGTTTTGCCGTCGAGTCGGCCCCGACTCATAGCGACCCCTCCTTGGGTTTCCGAGGCAGTCTCACTATGGAAGTAGGATTGCCCAACCTGCCTTCCGAGGAGTGGCTGGTGGGTTTGAACCGCCAGCCTTCTGGTGAGCAGTCAAGTGCCTTAGGCACTATGCTACCATGTTAGCAGTTATTATAACTAATCAGTACATTCTTACCTGTATTTTTTGTAGACTCGTTGAAACTTCATTAATATTTTGAGGTATATCAAAACATTTGGCTGTAGTGATTTTGGCATTCACCAACCACTGCTGGAAGTCCCTGCAGGCTTTCTGAAATCTTTGCTGTAACATCTGTTCTTTATTCTGGCAGCCCTTGGACGCTTGCAAACAAAGACTAGATCCATGATGAAGCATTTAATGTAAGGAGAAAATGATAGAGTCGATTCAAGTAATGTTTGTTAGCATCAGCTGTTCTCAGAATATGCACTCACCTTCTTACATGATTATTAAAATCGCACTTAAAATAAGCTGTTTATTTACTGTCCCTGGGTAGCTCAAATGATTTTCATTTGGCTACTAACCTAACAGTTGGATGGAACCCACCGAGCAGCACCATGGAAGAAAGGCCTGGCAAACTGCTTCCATAAAGATTCCAGCCAGGAAAGCCCTATGTTGTTGTTAGGTGCCACTGCACTGGCTCCTACTTAAAGCAACTCTATGTACAATAGAATGCCCAGTAATGCACCATCCTCACAATCCTTGCTATACTTGAGCCCATTGTCGCAGCCACTGTGTCAATCATCTTGTTGAGGATTTTTCCATTTCTTACCGACCTGTTACCTTACCAAGCATGATATCCTTCTCCAGGCAATGGTCCCTGCTAACAATGTGACTACTCTATAGAGTGGTTCTGTTCTGTGACACATGAGGCTCCCATGAATCAGAGTTGACTTGATGGCAATGGGTTTTGTTTTAGTAGTTGCTTATTTTATAAAAAGGAGCTTTGGTGGCACAGTGCCTAAAGTACTTACTTGACTGCTAACCAGAAGGTTGGCAGTTCAAACCCACCAGCCGCTCCACAGAAGGAAGATGGGACAATCTACGTCCATAAAGGTTTAATGCCTCAGAAACCCAATCGTGTCACTATGAGTCAGAATTGACTCGATGGCAGTGAGTTTGTTTTTTGGGTTTTATTTTATAAAAAAAATTGAACACATAAGTGTCATGCTCACCTGTTATATTCTTTAATCAAGCCAGAAACTTTCCCACTGTATGCACTTAGGTCTCTGGAAAATCGACAAAGTTCATTCAACTGAGACTTAAGATCTTCAGTCTTGGGCTCTGCTTTTTCTAGAGCATCAAGGATCTCCTAGGAGCAAATAATAAACCAGAGGAGCAAGCATTTAAAATGAGGAATTTACATATCCTTATACTGTTGATGCACAAATTCTATTGTACATTGTTAGTGAGGGAGGCGTCAATAGGAATGAAACGTGGGCTACTTACAGGATTCCCCACAGCAAGTCATAGCACAGGGACGATTTATACCCTTTTGTAGCAATGGACAGGCATTCTGGCATCAAATGAAGTCAAGTAGTCAAATGACCAAATGGTCATTTGAGATTACCCTATGAGGAGATACTCGGACTGCTAAGCTCCCTCTGTATGTAACTTGGTTGACCAGAGGACTACTTGTCATGTCCAAATACTCTATTTTGCTCTCTGCATACCCTGTGCTGTGAATATTCACATTTCTTTCATCCGTGAAACTGTAAGCTCTTCAAGGACAGGAATCATCCCTTGATTCATGCTCGAGTGCCGGAATCTGTGAGCAAGCCTTTGTCATTGTTAGCCATCCTAGTCACAGACCTTTGCAAATATTTTTTTCTCTTCTGCGATTAAATAATGGTACTCAAGAAATCCTTTAAAACACAATGCATGATCATCTATAAACTGTGTAAAATTGTGTTGCAAACCACTTGGCACATTGCTATTGTTAGTTTCCATTAAGTTGATTCCAACTCATGGTGACCCCATGTGTGCAGAGCAAACTGTTCTGTAGGGTTTGCAAAGAAAATTCTGGCAAATTATTTTATAAAAAAAACCCAAAGTATTCATAGCACAGGGTATGCAGAGATCAAAATAGAGTCTTTGGACTTGACAAGTACTCCTCTGGTCAACCAAGTTACATACAGTGGGGAATTAGCAGTCCGAGTGTCTCCTCACAGGGTCGTCTCAAGGAGTAAATGCCATCATGAATGTCAAATACTTAGCACAAATACATTCCTGGTACACCGAACGTGTGCAGTTAGAAAAATCCCCAATATTTAAAGGGGTCTGTGTGGCTAGTGGTATTGCCAAGGTGATCCAACAATAGAATAATTAAGAAGGAGGGGCCCAAAAAGATGTTGCTGTTCCTATAGTTATCCTCAGAGATACGTATCGAGACATGGCCCAGACTGGTAGAAAAACCACGTCCTTCAACAAACGAGGTCTGTGTTGCAGTCTTCATCCTAGTAAAAGGCACCACTGTCCTCCCGCTGATTTCAATCAGAAAACGAAGCATCATCTGGCCTCTCCCATTTGCCTCCTTACTCCAGGCAAGAGATCAGGGGCTAGTCTATTCCAAGGCTTGCATGGCTCGCTGAGTCTCCCTCCTCTCCGTATCCTGATGCCCATCACCGCCATTGGCATCTTCATCATTTCTTCCTGGGATGGTGCAATCTCCTAATTTGACTCCCATTCTCTGGTTTCATCTCCTGTGTTTTCTCACTCCTCAGCAATTCTGCATCTCCACGTTGTCTTACCGTCTCAAGTATCTGTTTGTAATCATACTGCAAGACTCAGCTCAGGTAACAACTTCGGTAAGGATTCTCTGTTCTCTTCCTACCTCTCTGGGGCTTCACATCTGAATGCCACTTGTCTTGACTCTTAATTATAGTATGCACCAAAAAAAAACAGCATACTCATCAGCTTTATACTTTTTGTCTTTCCACCTAGACTGGATCTTGAGAGCAAGGCAGGGTCCTCTTGGTTGTATAATTATTTGATTAGCTTAGTACCAGGCTAAAAGAACCTAAAACATTTTTATAGGTAAAAATAATAAATGAGGACTACAGTGTTCCCCAGTGAAACTCCACATGTGAAATCAGCAACATTTCACACCATAGTAAATCTTTATTTAAGGGAGAACATTATAAGAACGAAAGAAAATCAGCCCATACGAAAAATAGTAAAAATATGGAGATTCAAATCAGTCACTTATAAATCAGGTGACATCCAAAATGGAGAGCTTTTGATCAAAACTTTACATTAAAAAGCTCCCACGACTTCCACGTAAGGAAAGCACTTCAGTGGAGTCTTTCATGAGATAAACATCAGGCAAATTATTTGTTGCAGTTCTATTCTAGAATGCATTTTGTTTTTCTCATTGGTTAGAAAGCCCATGGAAACTACTATATTTCCAAAACTAACAATCCATTGGAGATTTAGGCAAATGACTATGGCCAATCACAATGAACACAATTTTTTTGCAACATGATTTTACACAGTTTATAGATGATCATGCATTGTGTTTTAACGGATTTCTTGAGTACCATTATTTAATTGCAGAAGAGAAAAAAAATATTTGCAAAGGTCTGTGACTAGGATGGTTAACAATGACAAAGCCTTGCTCACAGTGATACAATGCCATAAGAAGCCTAGCAAATGCATTACTTTGTAAACATTTTCCCACACATTCATTGTTATTGAAGTGTTACCCATTTTGAGAAAAATTGGGAAAATCTGAATATTGAAAGTAAAGATTGTATTGTCTTCAAAAGCGTGGGCCCTGGAGCCAAGTCTGGAATGGGCCATAAACAGTGGGCTGTCATCTCTGAACTATCAGTACAGCGAAAGGTCCATATTTATTCTGCAGTGTCCTGTGTGTTTTCTGTAAGCACCACCAAGTATGTTCACTTAATAGTAACAACATAAAAAAATGACAGCTTGTCGCCATTGAGTCAATTCAGACTCAGAGTGAGCCTATATGAGAATGTATTATAGATGTAACCAGATACTTTTTAAAATTAATTTTTCCCATGAGTGGAAAGGACACAAAAAGGAAGTAAAAGAGTTCAACTCTCTCAATCTCTCTCTCTATATATATATTAATCTCAGAGTGAATGATACCGACCACGTGGAACAATTAGCAACTTCCTTGTCCCTGTTTGACAGAACTGATTTCTACTCTATTCGTACTTTAAACCCTAAAGGGTAGGAAAGATAACAGGAAAGAAAGAAATCTAGTAACATGATAAAAAAAAATGGCATAAACAGATGACATTCTGTTCTATGGTGTGCTGTATTTGTTTCAAAACCTAATTTAAAACGAGACAATGCTGGAAGCACGGCTAACTTTCTTGTTGGCTGGAGCTGGAGCTATTTGGAAATGAATCTAACAAATCAAAACAGAAGTTTACTAAACCGCCTTTTAAGGGCACCCACGATTCAGAGCATTATAAAGCTGTAAATATTAAAAATCTCTCTCAAAGATGCTACTTCACAGTACCAGAAAGAAAGACAAGGTCAGCTTCTGGCCTTTTCCCTTATCTTTCTCACGTTTGTAAAGAACTGCTATTAACTGGGGGAAAAAAAAAAAAAAAAAGGGAAGGCACCCACCAGTGAGCCTGACTAGGGGTCCTATTAAAGGGATAATTCAAGTTCAGCTGTGAAATCCACACACAGGAAAGCTTAATCGGGTGAAAACTATTCATTGTGCTTTGAAAGATCACCAAATGTGTCTTTCAAAAGTGTAAATTCAGTCACTTCGTAGTTGGCAACAGCTGGCGAGGACACAGCTACGACTCCCAGCTATTTATGCCGCTGCCTACAGGCCATTTTTCAGTCTGCAGGGCCAGACCCAGTATTACGGCCGCTCACACCATGAGAATGAAAGTAAAATGTCTCCACTAACAGTAACTGCTTCCTCGGATAAATAACTGCTCCTCCCCTCTATCTTCTAGTTAATCAGAAGTTTGATTTACAAGGAAAGGCGACGGATCAGACAGTGAAGATTTCATTAGACAAACACTTATTTCTTCCAAGTCTGAATGTGGCATGGTTTTAGTTAGCAAGGATTTTTTTTTTTTCTTTTTTTAGCAACAATGAGAGCAAATCATTTTTTCTTCTTCTTTTTTTTTTTTTGCATAACCTCATACAGAAAACAGGGAGGTAACTTACTTGTCCTTTGTGCCAGCCTGCCACCAGCTCCTGATCAGTGTTCTTGCCTTCCAGGAGCGTCAGCTGCTGAGAGCAGGTCTGCAGAAGGACCCTGAGCTGCTCCAAGGCCTCATCAAGCTGAGCCACTTGGCCTGAGAACTCCTGTTCCGAGAGGGCCATCTGGCTGGCCAGGTCCTGCAGGCCGCTCCTGGTCTGGAATACGCTGTCTTCCCACTGCTTCCAGTCCGCACTCAGGGCCTGCATCTCTGCGTCCATGAGCTCAGCGCCCGGGGCACTTGTGTCCCGTTTCACGGCTGGAGCCAGCAACTCCACTCTGCTTAGGCGGCTCGCACCAACCTCTCTGGAATCTATCAACTCCTGCAATGGAATATCACCATAGTAACCAAGGGGCCTGTGAGTCACTTGGGCTGCTAGTTTCCAAATGTGTACAGAAGGGGACCCTGTCCTGCTAGGAAGTTTCAGCAAGCATGCTGCAAGGACCAGAATCCACTCATCGGCCCGTCACCAAGTTATAACAGCAGGTATTACCATGGTCAGACAGAGGGCTTGGGGCAAAATAACCTGAAGGTCCATAACATCCTAAAACAGAGGGACCCTGAAATAAGGCATCGCTTGAATATGCAAAATGTTTCTATAGTGGTTTAAAGACTTGCCCATCCATTTTGGCCTGTAAATAAGTGAGTCCATGCAGTCCCCCTAAGTTAAAGGACAAGTCAGCAGGGGTAGGAACAGAAGATATACTCTGCTTATGGTCTCTACCCCATTTCGTTTTCTTCCATAAGATGGTGGCTTCAATCACACTTCTATTCTACCAGGAATGGAGCACACCCATCATTACAAGTAATGGCTAAGAATGAGCTTTAACTAAAAACTTTCAAATTCTTCAGTACCTTCAGTGAACATTATTATAGCCACTAAAATGAAAAATTGGCAGGGAGGCCATCAAAATTTCCAAGTAAGCTTTAGACTGGATTCACTATTATTATTATTTTTAAAAAATCTGATTGCCAGTAATTTAACAACGTAGCTATAACTTTTAGTCTTTAAGCACACAAATGCTCTAAAGGAAAACAAGTTTAAAATATTATCAAACAGGTATAGTAGTGGCATTTCTTTCTGAGATTCTTTTATTGAATTTTCTCGCACTGAGTACATCATTTTGTGTTTATATATTTACAGGTCTATTGCTAAAGCCAGGATTATGTTAGCATTAACACAAATTCAGGTCCTCATTCCTGGATTAAACGGAAGGAAAGATGATTATTGAGGAGATAAAGTTTCAAGGAGAGAGTCCATTACAAATTAACAAGAGAAAAATGAGACATCAAGCATGAAACATGCTTAATAAATTATGCTAAGCATAAACTGAAATCCTTACACAGTTAGCATTAACAAACATACAGTAGCAGGAAAGGAAACCTTCCTTTATCAGTGTAAATGATAAGTAGTGATTTGATGAAGAAAAGTGATAATCTTTCAAAAGGAGCCATGTCCCACTAACTGTATGTACAATTTCACTTTATAAGTGATTGCAAATTTGAAGTTCAGAGGACATCAACTGTCAAAATCAGTTTCCCAAAATATTCTTTCATGTATGAACCCAGTTTTCTTTGGCCTGAACAGGGGACGTTTCGATACTTGCCATCAGTAATTCTGCTCATCCAGATTTCAAATAAGGACATCATTTTAAAGGGTTTTGAAATGACTTCTGCATATATTTTGTTGTCTTGTATTGAAATTCTTTAAAAATACACACATGCATACATATACGTATACACGTACAACTTTGTGATGTATATGCATACAACTTTGTGAGCACATACATTAGCTTTGAATTTGCCTGTTCTCGTGGTTACTACTGGGGAGGGGGTGGGAAATGATGTCGAAACATGGAGGAGGTTCTTCCTTCCTTCCTCCCCACAAACTGGGCTATATTCAGACCTGACCTGAACTTCTCAAAGACAGGCAGCTTTCACCATTCACCACCATTGACTTTCTCCTTCCCAAACTCCACATTCTTCCTGCCAATTACTTCTATGTTTCCTATCTTTTTTGAAGCGTTTTATAACAATATTGCAACAAAGAGCATTTGGCAACACAGGAGACAGTCATTGCAAACCAATGAGTTTCCTTCTTTCATGCTAACTTTTGAAACAATAGTCCACCTTGACTGTCTCCTCTACTTCACCTACTGTTCAATTCTAAGTACCTGTCACATGGCTTCTCATCTCACCTTGCTGTGGAAATGGCTCTCGGTGGTGGGCGACACAATAGATGACGAATCCAGTGGGCCTTCTTCAGTCCTACTCTATGGCATCCCCTTGCTGCATCTGCAACGGTGACCACCCTCCCCATGCTGCGTCTTGGTGGCACCCAGCCCTGGTCCTCCTCTTGTTCCTATTTCTCCCGTGCTTCCTCTCTCCCTTTCAATGTTCTCTTCTGCGGCCCCTTAAATAGCAGCAGCAACCAGCTTCCAGTCCTGTATTCATTGTTTTATTTGCTTTATACATAGGTCTTGGTTTCATTCATTCTGGTGGCTTCAACTAAAAATTATATGCTGATCATTGTCACCTCCGTGTCTTTAACCTGGTGTCCTAACATGGTATCTGGGCTTGAATATTCAACTGCCTGCTGGCCATTACCATGGGGCAGTTCAGAATCTACCTCTTCACAACTGATAGTGACCCTATGAGAACAGAGTAGAACTGCCTCGTAGTGTTTCCAGAGCTATAATCTTTCCAGAGAAGACTGCCACATCTTTCTCCTGCAGAGCACTGGTGGGTTCAAACCACCAACCTTTTGGTTAGCAGCCAAGCACTTAGGGACTATACCACCAGGGCCTTTGTTAGTTCAATAGGGATGTATAACCCTTGGTGAAGGAGCTCTGGTAGCATAGTGCCTAAAGCATTTGACTGCTAACCAGAAGGCTGGCAATTCAAACCCACCAGTCACTCTTCCGGAGGAAGGTTGGGCAATCTACTTCCGTACTGATACTGCCTCAGTAACCCAAGGAGGGGTCGCTATGAGTCGGGTTCAACTCGACAGCACATAACAACAACAACAACAATACAACCCTAGGTGAATAAATGGATAAGTGGATGGACCAATAAATGAATGAATATATTAGCTTATCATACAGAATAATACATAATAATAATAATACAGAGAATTATCAAAGAATTTTAAAGAATCACAGAACTAATAAGGACTTAAAAAATGTCTGTATTTGAATTATCTCATTTAAATCCTACAGGGTGATTATAAGGTTAAATGGGGTAATACCTATAAAGTAGTTAGAAATAAATCCTGAATGAATGTAATTATTATTGCTATTATGTATTTTTATAATTTTTATATTCTGATCTCCAAGGATCAGAACACAATCTGAGTCTTAAATTCCTTAACACAATTAAATAACTTTATTTCCAGAATTTGTGTGCCTAAAACTAAATCATTGAGGATTGCACCATTGCTTAATATTCAAATCTATTATTTTCCACTGGGAGAAAATGATTATAATTTAATATCTAAGCAACTAATAATTTAATATCTAAGCACCTTAGTAGAGCACTAAGGAGCTCTGATGGTGCAGTTGTTAAGGCATTCAGCTACTAACCCAAAGGTCAGCAGTTCAAACCCACCAGCCACTCACTGGGAGAAAGATGAGACAGTCTACTTCCATGAAGATTTACAGCCTTGGAAACCTTATGGGGGTTGCTATAAGTTGGAATCGACTCGATGCAGTGGGTTTAGTTTTAATTTAGTAACACACTAAAAGATAATGAAGATCTCCAACTCCATCAGAATGTATGGATTTCTATTTTTTAAATTGCCCTTATTAACACAGGAATATTGGATGATTAACATTAACATCCAAAGCACTGCCATCCTTTAGCTTGTACCATTGTCTAAAAAATCTAGGATGACGTTTCCTAAGTCATGCATTTCTAATGCACTTAACTAACTTTACAAAGTTTTCGTCCACTGTTCTTGGAAGGATTCTCTGGTTTCTTCAGTCCACCAAGCTGGTGTATATTTCTTAGTCTTTCATGCTGCAGCAACATGAAAATCTGCATACATGAGGAGTCCTGGTGGCACACTGGTTAAGAGCCAGCAGAAAGGTTGGGGGTCCCAGCCCACCCTGGGACTTCAAGGCAGAGAGACCTGATGATCTACTGCCACAAAGACCACAGCCAAGAAACCCCCGTGGACAGTTCCACCCTGTCCTCTAGGGGCGCTGTGAGTCAGAATCAACTCCACAGCAGTGGGTGTGGTTTGGGCTTTGCTTCTGTGAAGACTGACAGCCTTGGAGACCCTGTGGACAGTTCCACCCTGTCCCACAGAGTCGTTAGGAGCCAAAAACTGGCTGGATAACACACAGGCGCATATAGGGACAATGTTACATTTTGCTCACAAGTGCAATATGTTTTGAATTCCTTTTTCATGTTTGGAATCAGTTAAGTGTAAGGCAATAAACACCAGCCAATAGAAAACAACCAGGGAACAGTTTACTTAACAGACTTTTATCCACAGACTGTTTATCCCAGGTGTGCAATACTCAAGAACCAATGAAACAGTGTTGCTATAATGTCTGCCTGTTTTCTGACCTTAATTTTACACAACTTCTTCTGGGTGGCTGATGAATCTCCAGACATATCTGACCACCGGTGGAGTTCTTCCTTAGCTGAATGGAGCCAGTCTGTAAACTCCTGGACTGCATCCAAATACATTAGATGGTCTTTCACAATCTCTTCAACTTTCCTCATTTTTTCCTAGTAAACAAAGAAAGGCTACTTTAAAAATAGTGAGTAACTGAGAATATGAAATTAGAACAGACAATGGGCCTGATGTAGGTGCCCTAATACATCTCAGAAGATTTCATTCTCACTCTTCTTCTTCTCTTCATTTAATATTTTAAGATGAAAACATCAAGTCCTTATTGGACTGAAGGACCTTGAGGAAGAAACCATTTATTCTCCAGCTACCACTGCCTAGCTTAGCATAACCCTTTGGCATCATGAATGCTGACTAACATCTCGTTCTAGCAATCCACTTAATAATAACTATTATAATAACTTATTATTGAATCAATTATTTGTGTTGGCTTTGAACACGGGATTCTGCTCAACACTCTAAACGCATTTGCTCATTTCATCCCCACAACAGTCCTGTCATGTAGATACTATGAGTATATCATTTAACAAAAAAGACACTCACATTGCCAGAGGGTATGTAATGAGCCCTAAGCCATACATTAGAAAAGGGGCAAAAGCGGAATTCAAATTTAGGTCTTTTTGACCCTAAGTCATAGTTCTTCATGGGTATCAAGAAAAATGAAAAGAAACAAGTGCATGTGTAAAATAATTATAATATCAGCAAGATACAAAGAGTGTGCAAAAGACCAACCAAAGGAGAAACAAAAATAAAATGTCTTATTTCCTTTAATATTGTCAATAATGTACAAAAAAATAAACCACAGAGGAAAGTAAAGATTCAGAGCAAGGAGTGGGAGAAATTGTGCAATTATGTGAAGCTGTCTCTATTTCAGTCTGACCCTCAACTGATGGAGAGCATGGTGCAGGACCAGGCAGACATTCTTTCAGTTGTCCATGGGGTCACCATGCATTAGGGGTAGACATGACAGCTGCTAACCACAACAGCTTCCAGTGTGGAGAATAGGAAAGTGCAACTTGTACTCCTGAGAAATTAGCACCATACTTTGCACACGATTGAAATCTGAATAGTTAACAGACTTGCATTTAATAATACAAGTATCAGTGGCAGCAAAAGAAAAAGAATTTTAAATACTGATATTCAATGTACACATTCTGAAAGTAAATGGACTGGCTAACCTTCAGAGGAGAAAAAGACTATATCTATATATATAGATAGATATGAATATGAAATAAAGAATAATCCCAAGAGAGCAGGAAGTACAAAATGCTTGGGAGATGACGGATGATGGCTAAAACAGCCATTCATAAAATGTGCACGTAGCTTTAGAGCAGCCAATTCCCTCAGAATTCAACCCCTAGTAGATCCATTACCTGAGCCTTGATGTTTTGTCTTCAATACAAAGCACTAACCTTAGCGACGGTGGTTATATCATTAAACTGTGTCTTTAGTTCCTGTTGAGCTGTTTCCTTGAAAGCTGCGTCCTCAGTCTTCTCGTAGAGCTCCCTGGCTTTTGCAGTTAGGTGGTGAAGTGTTCGGGCATGGTCTTCCGCCTGGGCCATGACGGACTGGAAGTGGTCCAGCAGGGTGAACTTCTCTTTCAGACCTGGCTGCAGCTGTAGGGGATGCTCAACTTGCTGATCCACTGATTCCATCCACTCTTCCAGCTGGGTTTTCCTCTCCAGATATTCATTCCATTGGCTGATCACAGACTCTAAAGTGCTAGAATTAATGTTACATATCATACAAGCCAGTTATCGTGACATCTCAGCTGGAATCCAATTACCAAGACATCACATCCATGTAAGCTGTTTTTCAGAATGCCATTGTAAGTGATGAAAATGTGGCTTTGAAGTGCAGGGAGATATACTAATTCTCTGACCCAAAACACAGTTCCTTTGAACAAAAGTAAGCCGTTGTCAAATGTGAAGTAAGAAGCTGTAGTCATATACGCATCTGGAGATGTGTCTTCTAAATGCTAATTATCCTAAATGAACTCATTGCCATTGAGTCAATTCTGACTGCTAACCAGAAGGTTGGTGGTTCAAACCCAACAACCTCTCTGTGGAAGGAAGACTGAAAATCCACTTCAGTAAAGATTTACTGCCTCAGAAACCCAATGGGAGTTGCTATGAGTCAGAATCAACTTGACAGCAGTGGGTATCCTAAGTGAACAGACAAATTTCTATATAATGTTATTAAGAGTCACCACTGGAGGATCAACTAAATTGTATTTAATATATTTCAGCTCCTGATTTTCTTGGGATCAGTTTGTTTTACTCAAATCTGATGGTAATTATATGTTGACTGGCATTCAAAAGTCAAGAGATTCCTTCTGGGTGAATACTATTATTTTAGATTAATTTTCCATTAAGGATAATTATGCACACTGTTCAGTGTGCCTGTGTTGAATGTGGAAATGAATGGCTACTCAGTGTATTCATAATACAAGGAATACAGTCACAAACACAATAGTCAAGTAAGCAGCTCTCTGAATAGTCAAGTAAACAGCTTTACAGACTGATATTTTAAAAAGCCCACTATTCAGCTTCACAACCTCTCCTGATCTCCTCTCTGTGACTCCTCCCAGGGCCCTCTGCATACAAACCTGTGACCCTGGATCTACAGCAGCAGTAGAAGTACTTGAGGCTTTTGCACAACTGTGTGTTTTCGGTTTTTTTTTTTTTTAATCAATAGGAATTTCATCATATACATCTTAAAGTTATCCTTACCTCAAGGAATTTTCTAAAACTCCAAATCTATCTCATTTCTTCTGAAGCCACCCAACAATTGCACTCTTCTAACGTCCCATGGGGAGCTCTGGTGGCATATGCCTAAGGGAAGTCCCACGTGTCTTTTTAAAGCTCTCTATTAATAATGAAGTTTGTTCTTTTGAGAATATATACAACAGAACATACAACAATTTCTCCATAACTAGGTTATGTCAGTCGACCTAGATGTCCCTCAGACTATTCAGTGACGCTGAAGACATTCTTCAAGTTGTGCAATCACTCTCACCCTCCTTTTCCGAATCCTTCCTCCCCCATTCATATAAACTCACTGCTCCCTAAGCTTCCTTCCTAACCTTTGAGTCATTGTCAAGTTGACCCATGCAGATAGTTCTTTAAAAGAGCACAGTGCTCAAACAATACATCATTTACTAATTAAGCTAAACTATTGCTTCATTTGGGAGCTCTGATAGCATAGTGGATAAGACACTTGCCTGCTAACCAGAGGGCTGGCGGTTCAAACCCACCAGCCACTCCTCGGAAGGAAGGTTGGGCAATCCTACTTCCGTAGTGATACTGCCTCGGAAACCCAAGGAGGGGTCGCTATGAGTCAGGTTTGACTCGACGGCACATAACAACAACAACAACAACATTGCTTCATTTAAAGAAGATGTCAGGGGATATTTTTGGTTTAAAGTTTAAATATTATCTCTGGGTAATAGTTTTGAGAGTTCACCCAGCCTCAATGGCTCCAGAAAGTTTGGAACTATGAGCATTTGAAATTCTGTTTCACATTTCCCTGCTTTTGATCAGGATTTTTCTATAAAATCATTGCTTAAAATGTTAGTCATGGTTGCCAGACACCATTCAGGTTTTCTGGTCTCCTGGCAGGGGAGGCAGTTGTTCATAAAGCCAATTAATCACACATTGCATTTCCTCCTCCCGTTTCTGACTCACGTTTTCCTCTGTTGCTCCAGTGAATAGGGACAAATTGTTTTACCTTGGATAGCCACGAGCAAGCTTTTAATGCCCCAGGCACTACACAATGAACTTAGAGGTAATAAAGAAGCAGTAAACGTGGTATTAGGCCAATTAACTGGGTCGTCCATGAAACCATTAACCTAAACCTCCAAACCAAGAAACCAAATCCCATGAGGTGTTTGGTTGTACCTAAGCAGCCTCAGCATCTGCTTTTTGTTGTTATTGGACGTATATGTATCGCACAGCTTCTGCCAATTCAACTTTTTACAGGTGTGCAACTTATCAGATATCAATTACATTAATTGGCTATAAAACTCTTACCTTTATTCAATGTTAATTTTCTATCACTGTAAACAGACACTCAGTGCTTCATAGGCAATAAATTCCCATATTCCCCTCCTTCCTACCCCTGATAATGACTAATAAATTTTAGTCTGTGTACCTTTGCCTGTTCTTGTCATTTACTAAGTGAAGTTCTTCTGTGCTTGACTTATTTCACTCAGCACAATGTCTTCAAGCTCCATCTGCGTTGTAGCCTGTATCAGGACTTCATATTTCTTTAGAGTTGAATACTATTCTATTGTATACATGTACCATATTCTACTTATGCATTTATCTGTAATGGGTACTTAAGTTGTTTAGTCTACCATTTGGCTATTGTGAATAGTGTTACAGTGAATAAAAAAAAAAAAAAAAAAGGAGCTCTGGTAGCATAGTGCCTAAGGCATTTGACTGCTAACCAGAAGGATGGTTACAGTGAATGCTGGTGTTCATAGGTCTATTCATGTGGCTGCTTTCAAGTCCCTTGGTCCATCCCTAGCAGTAGAATTTCTGGGTCGTCTGGTGGATCTATTTTTACTTTTTTTGAGCAACCACCTGTGTTTCCTGCAATGCTGTACCAGTTTTCATTCCCACTAGCAAAGGATAAAGGTTCCAATTTCCCCCCATCCACACCAGTATTTGCTATTTCCCATTGTTTGTCCATTTTATATTAGCCCCCCTAATGGGAGCAAAGTGGTATGGATCGCACCAGGGCTTTGGTTTACCTCTTTAATGGTTAATGTGGAGCTCTGGCAGCATAGCGCCATGAAGGACCTTTGCACGTGCTTGGTGGCCATTTGAGTAGCCTCTTGGGTGGAATGTCTATTTAAGTTCTCTGACCTTTTTTTATTGTTTTTTATTTTTTTAATTATTGAATTGTGCAAGTTTTATATATGTGTTTTAGTTAATAGATTCTTATTGGATACAAGCTTTCAAAAGATATTCTCCCAATGGGTAGCTTGTCTTTTCACTTTTTTGGTAAAGTCTGCTGATGAGCAAAACTATTTGATTTTTATGAGGTCTCATTTATTGACTTTGTCCTTTGTTGTGTGTGCTTTTGTTTCATATCAGATAACACATGGTTAAAACCTAGGTGGAAGGGCCTTCCTCCTGAACTTTCTAACAGTTTTCTGGTTTTAGTTTTCATGTTTAGGTCAAGTCCACCCCTCACCCCGTTTTTGAAAAAAGCATTTTATTGTGTTTTAGGTGCAACTTCACAGAGCAAATTACTTTTCCCTGAACAATTTACACACAGACTGGTCCATGACACAGGGTGCCATCCCTGCTGCATGTCGCTCTCTCCTCCTTTCCACTCTGCCGTCCGTGTTTCCACCCCTCCAGTTTTCCTGCACCTCCTTGACTTCTCATCTCTGCTTTTGGGAAAATGTTGGCTATTTGGTCCAGTACAGTTCATTGTTCTCAGGAGGACAATCCTCACAGGTATGATTACTTATTTTATAGCCAGTCTATTATTTGGCTGAGACGTGACCTCCAACAGTGACTTTAGCTCAAGGTTAAAAGGGTGTCTTAGGGCGATAATCTCAGGGGTTTCTCTAGTCTCTATCTGTCCAGTAAGTCTGGTCTCTTCTAGGAATTTGAGTTTTGTTCTCCAATTTTGTCTTTTAATCAGGATCTTCTATTGTGTCACTGTTCAAAGCAGTCGGTAATAGGAGCCAGGCGCCATCTATTCTGGTCTCAGGAGGCTAGAGGAGGTTGTGGTTTGTGTGGGCCATTCGTCCCATGGACTAATTGATGCCTTGAGTCTTTGGTTCCTTTCACTCTCTGCTGCAGACAAGTAGAGTCCAACATAACAGTCCTCACTTATTGACATGGTTAGGTTCAAAAGACCAGGTCAATATGTAAAAATCGGTGTTATGTGAAAATAGAGGATGAGCACATCAGATCACAAAATGGAGGGTGACTACATCATTTCTATAACTGCCAAATCACTAAGAATCATGACCCAGCCAAGCTGACACGTGACCTTAACCATCACAGCCAGCTTACTCTTGCCTCACATCTTGGGGTTCATTACTGCAGACACACATCATTAAAGCAAAACCATAGTCAGATAATGGATTTTCACTGCAGTCATAAATGCAAAATGTCAGCTAACGAGACAGCCTATAAGTGAGAAGTAGATGTAATTGTATGGCAAGATGGCTGCTTGCAAATTTTTAAGATGCCAGATGCTACTCACCAAACTAGGATGTAGAACGTTATCTTTACCAACTAGTTTATGTCAATTGACCTAGATGCCCCTGAGACTATGGTCCTTAGCCTTCAAGCCAGTATCTCAGTCCCACAAGGTGTCTGGATATGTGTAAGAAGTTTCCATAACTGTGCCCCATGTACTCTATTATGTGTATATATGAATGTACACACAGCAATAGTGGGTTCAAGCATAGCAGTGATTGTGAGGCTGGCACAGAACTGGGTGGTGCTTCTTTCTGTTGTACACAGGGTCACTGTGAGTCAGAGCTGACTCAACGGCACCTAACAACAACAACAACATATATGTAGCACATACAAATATATATACCAATGCCCACAATAGTATATGCATGCACATGTACTCCTATAAGCCCTCCCACATCCATGCATACATATCTACCTACATAACCACTTACGCATTTCGGTTGTTATTACTGTTGCTGCAGAATTGTATATATTATACAGCATTTACCATGGTTGTCCACTATTCTTGAGTTCCTCTCGGTGTCCTCATTTACCTCAGTCACAATGCTGACATGCCCTGTATTATGAACTGCCTTTCCCTTCACCAGAATTAACATGTGGTTTTCTGTTTCTTTTTCTTCTTTTTGATCATTGCCATGTTTGTATGGGCAAGATGCTATCTCATTATAGTTTCAATTTGTAGCTTTCTAATAACAAATGATTGCATCATAAGCATCTCTCCATGAATGCCTATGAATGTCTTTGGTGAAATGTCTGTGCACCTCCTTTGCCCATTTTTTTATTTGATTGCTTGTCTTTTTGTTCTTGCGGTGTTGAATTTTTCTATATATTTTAGAGATTAGACCCTTTTCAGATATGTAATTGCCGAAGATTTTTTTCCAGTCTAAGGTTCTCTTTTGAATCTCTTGGTAAAGTCTTTTAATGAGCCTAAGGGTTTAATTTTTAGGAGGCCCAACTTATCTAGATTATCTTCTGTTGTTTGTGTAATTTTAGATGTGTTTTATAGTGTATTTATACCACACATTAGGATCCTAGCTTTATCCCTATGGTATCTCTTGGGAAATTTATAATTTTAAGTTTTACATTTAGGTCTTTGATCCATATTGAATTAGCTTTTATGTATGGTGCGAGGTATGGATTTTATTTCAGTTTTTAAAAAGTCTTAACACAGTTGAGTAAAAGTTTTTCAAGAATATATCCTACTCTAGCCTCTGAGCTCTTAGAGACCAAAAAGCTTTTTGTTTTGTTTCAATGTTTTAGCACAATAGTTTGAACATCGTTATTGCTCAACAGATAGTTGCAAAATTTATTTTCTGGGTGAAAGAAGGGAATCAGGACCTATATCACTTCTTGTACTTAATACTCCATTTTAACATCTAAAACGTACTCAGCCAAAGTCCCATTAGCTTCTCTGCAGTTAGCCTATTGCATAGCACTGGGAAGTTAAGTTTATGTTCTGTAGTCTACACTATAAAATACAATCACCATAGGATCTAATTTTTTTTCTCTCCATGATCATACTGGGTTATTACTGGGATTTAAAGTCTTACTGATTTGGGAATAACCACCTATGCTCCAAATTAAAGGAAAAACAAAACAGAATAAAACTTCTGTAGTTTAATTTGTAACCAAGGTTACTTGCTCACACTCCAGTGGGAAAATTGAGTGTTTTTTGTTTTGGTTTCCGATGAACTTTAATACTGTATTCACATCTTTATCATGATCATGCCAGGCACTCTTACTCAATGGTCTAACAGCATAATCTTCAGAATAGGTCTCCTGCAATGTGTGTTAGTATGACACTAACTGAAGAGCATTGGTCCAACCAGCTTGTCCTTCCAACAAGGAAGGAAGTGAAACATCTTCCACTCATAGATACTACCACAGCAACAAAAAACATCCCCAGTTAAGCAATATCTTCTGTAATTTCTCATCAGTGTCTGGTGTCAGGTGAAGGACTTCTCACCAAGGGCTCTATAGGCCTTGTGGCCCAATCAACTACTGTGTGTGAATGTTCCACGAATTACAGAAGCCTATCTGCTCTGGCCTTAGGCAGTAAATAAATGGCAGGGACATCCCATCACTGTGAAAATCAAAAACAGCCCACGCATTTCCAACAACCCCCAACTGGGGGCACAACTTTTGGTTAAGGAACACATTTATGCTTAATCTCAGTAACTGTTAACAACTTAATTTCACATGCATTCCTTTAAAAATGCCAAAAGGTATTAATGTTATTAAAGACCAAAACTTTGTTCTGATGATTTGACAAGAAGGTTTTCACTGAGCCTACATGATCTGTAAGATTTTGTGAAAGGTCTTGTGTAGAGGGGTTAAATATATTTTGTAGCAAAGCAAACAAGCAAACATAACTAGTACCTGGCCTTACGGAAAATAAAATCTAGGCAAAGGCAGGACTGCTTACAACCAGCCAGAATGGTATGCTTGGTGACTATTACAAGCTACCCTTAGCACAGCGCCATCATTTTCCTAAGGCTTGGGGTTTCATTTAGGTAAATAAGCATTAACAATAACTGTGTACCTCTGAGCATGGACGGAGGAGCTCATGATGTTGGCCCACATGTCTTTAAGGGCCTGCAGCTGAGTGTGAATCACCTTCTGACCTTCTTTGTTGCTGCTTCTCAAGGCCTGCTCCCCTTTGCCAATGGCCATATTCAACTTAATTTCACCTTCACCTTTCATCAGGAGAATTTCCTGAGAAGGGAGAATGAATATTCAAATAAACAGAAAAGAAATACTAGAAAATAATATATGCTAGTGTCTTTTCCTGACTATACAATTATACATATTCATTGTGGAATATTTGGAAGAATCAGACAATGGCAAGGGAGAAAATGAAAAGTAATGTTATCTTGACACCAAGTAGAAACATTCTTAATATTTTGGTAGTACTCTTTTACATATAACACTCATTGCTGTCCAGTTGATTCCAACTCATAGTGACCCTTTAGGACAGAGTAGGACTGTACCATAGGGTTTCCATGGCTGTAAACTTTATGGAAGCCAACTGCCACATCTTTCTTCCATGGCCAACTGGTGAGTTTGAACCACTGACCTTTCAGTTCCCAGCCAAGCATTTAACCAGTGTGTCACCAGGTCTCTCCAACCCTTTCACACATAGGTAGGATACATTCCCAGAAAGGGAATATCTGGCTGGTGTCGCACATACCTGTATTTGTATCAGCCGCTTTTCCAATGTGTCTTTGCTTCCAACAGTGCTCTCTGCACAGCCCAGTCTGTCTTGGACGTCTTTCCCCCAGGACCACATGTTCTGCAGTGCTTCCTCCAGGGCTTCGTGCTCCTGCAGGGCCACCTGGCAGCTCCGGAGATGCTCCTTCGTCATTCTGAGCAAGTTCTGGTAGCTGGTGAGGAGGTGGGAGCACAGACGGCCTTCCTTCCCAGCACCGTGGCCTTCTTCACTGAGAAGCTGCCCTCTCTGGGAGAGCTTATCAATAGACTCTCTAAAGAAAACAGAAAAAATTTAGTTCCAGCATTCTAGAGTGCAAGGAAGTGACAAGTGATTTTGCAACTGGAGCAGTCACCAGACAAGCGTGCAAGGCTGGCACCTCTTACTGGTTACCAGGGACTAGGGGAGGGAAGATGGGGAGTTATTGGTTTATTGGGACAGAGTTTCTGTTGGACAAGAAAGTAATCATATATAGTGAATCATTTGATTTCAGCCTGATTTGTCAATTCATGAAATTAAGACTTGTAGTTAACAAAGGGATAATTGGCAATCATTTCTTCCTGATGTCCCATCTTAATAAAAGAAGGTTGACATTTTGAGTGGATTTCTTCCAGAGGACTGGGAGGAGTGAGCAGCCAGTGAGTGGGAGGAGTCAGCTGACTGGCTTGAGAATCTGGGAGACCAGCCCAGTGCCTTAGGACTGTAAGGAAAAGTAGGCAGTTGGGAGGGAAAGAAATTGGAGACAAATCCACCTAAGGTCTCTTAACATCTGGTCACAGAGGATCATAGTGTAAAATTTCAAGATGGACTGTAGGATGAACAATGTCAAAAAGCTGTAGTTATTTAAAAAGAGAGAGAGAGCTAAAGAAAGATGTTGAATGTGGTGAGAAAGAGAACATAGGCCACTTTCTTGAATGGAATTTTACTGTAATCATGGAAGGAGAAATAGAAACAAAGGGAGGTGAAGAGTAACATCTGCAGAAGAAACGAAAGCCAAGAACACAAATATCATTTTAGAAGTCCTGAAGGAAAAAAGAAGGCGCTGATGATGTTATCTTGTGTCCAATCAGGAGTCAAGATTCAAAAAGCAAAACAAATTAATTTCAATGTGATTTGCAGAATGTCACATAATTAGAAGGATGATATTATTCTGTTAATTTAACAAACATCCTCTGCTTTTCTGGCACGATACTAAGCAATGAAAATATAAAGATGAGAAAGATCTGAAGGTGCCTAGCTGTGAGAAGCTCACACTTGGGGGTTGGGGTACGTGGAGTCTTGTGAAGGCTTGCAGAGGTGGAACTGAAGGCTTCCCAGATAATCACACAGAAAGAGCTTTTAAACCAACACACCAACAAGTAGTTACTGATGTGGGTTTGGTTTGTGTGTTCCTTTGCATGTTTGTTTTTTAAGACAAGGAATATTGGTCATGTTTGACCAAAAAAGAGGACTCAATAGAAAAGCAGAATGAGCGTGATGTGAGGTAAGCATTTTTTACTCAATCGATCCCGGGTGCTGAGTTATCTGATTGACCAGGTTGGGTGCTATCCTTTTCAGCATCACGGATCCATGCACCCCTCCTTCAGAACCCAAGATTTGGTCAAGCTACACTTCCCCGATGGAAACTGTTTCTCTGTCACAGGGCAGGAAGCAATGGAAAATACCAGGGGTACCTTCAGCAAAGCCCTGAAGGCGATGGGACCAAAAGCACAGACCAGAGAACCTGACCTGGGAAAGGAGCCAGTAAACGATCTCGATCTCCGTACTGAAGCAATGAGGCAATAAATACTTGACTGATATGAGAGACTACAGGACAATCATACTTAACAACTACACCTTTTGTTCCACTAGCAAAATTATTGTGGTGGGTTGGGTTGGTAATAGACCTGGAGGCTGAAATATGTTGAGAATATATGCTAATGGGTTCTGCAGTATCATAAATGAAGAGTATCTTATCAGTCACTGTGAATATGTGGTCTTCTACTCTTCCTATTGGAGGCCGGGTTGGTTCAGTGGTAGAATTCTTACCTTCAAGGCAGGTGACCCAGATTCAATGCCTGGCTGGTGCACCTCAAACTCACCACCACTAACCTGTCAGTGGAGGCCCACACATCACCTGCTGCTGAACAGGGATCAGCAGGGCCTGCAGACTAAGAAAGACTAGGAAGAAAGGCCTGGTAATCTACTTCTGAAAAATCAGCCAATAAAAACCAGATGGGTCATAATTGTCCACTCCCTGCCTCATGGGGTCTCCATGAGCCAGGGGCCAACTCATCAGCAGCTAACAAAAACAAGTTCTTCATATCAGCTTCACAAAATGATCCCTGAGAAGGAAGTATTATTGACATAATGTTCAAAGACTAAAATCATGAAATAGCAGAGATGAGTGGCCTGCCCAACTCATCCAGCAAATAGAGGTTGAACTGGGAAACAGATCAGCCCCTTACTTTCAACCCTGTGCTTTCTGCAGATACCCCACTGCTAGAGCAAACACAACCCAGTCACAGTATTCTACACATTCAACCACAGGTACATACCGCCACCAACAACCAACCACCAAACCCAATAACCAATCAGATAAAAACATCGGAAGAGGGAAAGGATTCTATTCACATAAGATACCTTGCAGCTAGTAGTTCTCCCAAAAACATTTCAACTTTATGAACTTCATTTTTCTTCTCAGCAATGTGCTGTTTACTTTCACCCAAGTTTTCTGTACTTAACCTCTCTTCCATTTCATGGATCCATAAGTTCAATTTTCTGTGCTGATCCTCAAAGCTAGAAAAAAGAAAAGCACTTAGCAAATTTCTTATACTTGTTATAATAAATGAATGCTAATAGATAAAGTCACAATGACTTTTATATGGCAATTAAGATCTCATGAATATTCAAGTTACAGAAGAAAACAAATTCAATAATAAGCCTATCCAAATTATCTCTTATTTCAATAACAAAATGACAAATCATAGTAATTTCCTTTGAGCTTCAAACAGAAGGAAATAAAAGAAAAGAAACACCCCATCTTGCTGAATTGATTTAATGGTAATCATAGTTGGAAATTGCCAGCAAAATTATATTCCCACGTCAACATGCACTAAATATGGTGGGCAACAAAGACTTTTTGGATCGGAGCCAATGGATACATGGGGCACTGGAAACACAGGAAAAAGAAACATGTCTCTGTGTCTTTGTATTTTAAGGAAATTTGTATATAGCTCAGGAGATATAGGTTGGAAAACAATGCAGATTCTCCAAGAAACAAAGAAAACTCAGGCAAATTATTCTGACACTGAACCACTGAAAAGTCTCTTTGATTCCACTGACACTTTCCCCTCATCCCCAGCAATAAGTTCATTTTTTTCTTCTCATATTATATTCACCCACATTGCCACATCCTACTTGATCCACAGAAATGCAATAGGTGTTTCTACCATGACTCCATTGCAGCAGAAGTGGATGCAAGCAAAAGCCCTGGGTAATCTAAAACTGGGGTGTCAAAGTTCTTAAATATTGAGTTAGCCAAAGAAACAAAAATCATATGCATGTGTGCATGTTGTTTGCAGTTGCTAGTGAATACATCTTTCTTTTTTCTGTACAGAAAATAAGGCCAAATGATAACTGATCGTCATAGTACACACTTGTACTTAAGATCAAAGCCAATTATAAATTAAATTTGCAATTTCAAATATTATTTACTTATTCACAAGGGCTGTTATTTTGAAGTATGGCCAGAAAGCTGCTCAGAAGTAAGGAGGGTAAGATTTCATCTCATGTACTTTGGGCATGTTATCAGGAAGGACCCAGTCCCTGAAGAAGGACATCGTGCTTCATAAAAGTCAATGAAAAAAAGAAAGACCCTCAATGACATGGACTGACACGGTGGTTGCAAAAATGGGCTCAAATACCACCACAATTGTGAGGATGGTGCAGGACTGGGGTCACTATGAGTTGGAACCAGCTTGAAGGCACCTAACAACAACATCTTGAGGTCATTGCAAAGACATTCTGTGAATGATAAATGTACTTTTATCAAACCCACCTACCTCCCAAGTTCTAGAGCACAGTCTTGCAGAGTCTGTTTGTCTTTGAGGCATTGTTTCAGAAATGCCTGAAACTCTTCATTAGCCATTGTAACCTGTTCCTGAATGCTGCTGACCAGTTGTTTAGACAAATGTGCATACAAAGTTTGTCCTTCTTGAGTCACGGCGTCAAGCTTGCCCTGTCCAACACTGACTGAGTCCAGAATGTTCTGTTTAGCGAAATAATGGTAATATAAAATATTTACTATTTTTTAGAGACTCTGGTGCATGGCAGATCAATTAAAATTTGGAGTTGAGAAACTAGATAGAGCAAGAGAAGGAAAACAAGGCCCAAAGTCTTTACCAAGGCTGGAGGGGGAAAAAAATCAAAGGTCCTAATTGGAGTAGGTACCAGCCAGTCTTTGGAACCACTGAGGAAAAAGTAAACAATATCAAGGAGAGAAGAGAACACACCCAGAAAAGTCTCCCATCCCCATCTCTTACCAGTCTCACTGTCCCCACCTAGCCCAAGCTCCACCTTATCATACCGTTAGTTGATATCCCTGAATCTGGTTGGCTGCTTCCAGCCCTTCCTACTCCTTCTCTGATCCACCCTGCACACATTCTTGTCTTCTGGTGCCTTCTTTTCTTGCTATGTGCCTCTTTCTTGGAAGATCATACTGCACTGCCTTGGCATCCACAAAGCAAAAAGAACCCCACAGCTCCAGGGTTGCTCCTGGCACTTCCCAGAGCTCCAGAGCAGCCTTTATGATTATCATCCTGGCATTTCTTTATGAAGTGCCACTGGCATCTCAAGAGTCAAAGGGAAAAATTCCATCTGAACTCATCATGCCTTCTGAAAAACTACTTTCCTTTTCAACAATATTCCTACCCTGACTTGTAATTTCAGGAGCCATCTATATTATTGTCTGTACCCAGAAGGCCAAAACACCCTCATGGTCCTTATTAATTTTTAAAAAATTATTTCGATCTTATTTTATACTCAGATTTGGATTAGGCACTAGAAAGACTTGGCCAAAACTTAATTTGAACCTACTCTTTTGGGAATCATTTCTTAACTCTGCTTCATGATTGCCTTCTCCTTCACAAATGCATACATCTTTCAGAGTCATTAAGCCTATAAAGCCTATAATTTAAATATATAGTATTTTATATATTTAAAGATATAGTAGCTATGTTATATTCTAATTTGAATATATAAAATATATTTAAGTTGGAATGATTTAAATATATAATAGCTCAGAATTTAGATGATTAACTAAAAGAATCACAAACCA